CTGACTCCTAGCTATGGGAAACGAACTAGGGGTGTTGGAAGGGGAGGAGGGCGGAGGTTGGGGGTGACTGCGCGGCGGGCACTGAGGGGGGCACTTGACGGGATGAGGAGTGGGTGTTGTTCTGTATGTTGGCAAATTGAACACCAATAAAACATAAGTGTGTTATTAAAAAAATGTTCTCCACTTTTATTTCAACGCAGGAAACAGTCCAGTAGCCGATAAACATGGGCGAAAGAGGTCTTCTCCCGGACCGCCGTGAGGAAGACGTGGGGTAACGTGTTTACAGTATTTTCCCTTGCCACATCAAGTCAACTCGGCTTGCCTGCCGGTTATTCTCTGTAAAATCCTAGAATGAGACATTTCTTCCAAAACAAATATGACCTGGGTTTACCTTTCCTCAGTAATGTTTGATGTAACTTCTTCACAGAAACGAAATACAGAAGATGCTGCAAGGACTTGGAGGTATGCATAAGTGATATCTGCAGGGAAAAGGAAAGCTTTAGATCCTACAGCTTTTACAGGTGGATATGTTAATGAGTGGCCTGCAAGACTGATTTTCATGCCTTGTTCTCATATGTAGGATGTTACACAAGTATTTAGTGTGATTCAACTTTGCCACTTTCTATGCTGACCTTTTCCACTGTTGATCTGGAAAGGTAAAAATGGTACTCACCAAGATGAGGTAAGAGTGACGCCGTTATTTTATGCACGCGTACGTCAACGTATTCTGCGAGCGAGTGGACGGAGCAAACTTCATACCTCCTTTGGTGTGCACAGATTACGTGGCATATCAGGTTTTTATGTCAGATTTAATTTTTCTTAATTTAGTTACTTTTCATAACTTTCCAGTGCTCTGTTCTTTGGAGTAGCAGCACAAACTGAATCCTGCCAAAATCAATCAATCAAACAAAACCAACCAAAAAACCAAAATATAAAACAAAGCACCCTCTTTATCGTCATTTTTCATTAATAAACCGTATAGCTGCAAACTAGAGAATTCCCGTAGTTGCTGAGAAATGACATATCCAGACTCCTAAGCTTTTTCTTGTTTGGTCAGAGGTCAGTCACAGCATCTGCACTACAGGACAGGACACTTAGCAAAGAGTCCCAAGTCAATCTGTGGCTCTTCGATAAGGATCGCCCTTAAAAGCAAGTATGTTTTGATAGCTTTGCTCTATTTGGTGGCGACAAAGGGCTTGCTTTGTGAGCTAATAAACTTCTTACTGTAGAGGGATTCCGGGTGTGTAAAATAGTTTTATCAGACTGCAGATCCTTCATGACTGCTGAAAAGTAACTATCGATTGTAGATCCAAAAAGTCAAATCATGCGATTTGCAAAGCTTTATTTGAAGTATTAAGATTCGGTGGAATACAGCACTTATGCATAAAAGTGCTATGGGAAAAGCTCCGTGAAAATATTTTATTTATTATTTTTTTAAAGATTTTATTTATTTATTCATGATAGACACACACACACACAGAGAGAGAGAGAGAGAGACAGAGAGAGAGAGAGAGAGAGAGAGAGAGAGAGAGAGAGAGGCAGAGACACAGGCAGAGGGAGAAGCAGGTTCCATGCAGGGAGCCCGACATGGGACTCGATCCCGGGTCTCCAGGATCAGGCCATGGACTGAAGGTGGCACTAAACCACCAGGGCTGCCCTTGAAAATATCTTAAAAGTGTTTCTGAACTCATTTATTCCAGCTAGAGTTCTTACAGTCACAGCCTTGCTCTCTTTTAGTTAAGCACAGTTAAAAGCATCATCACTAGATCGCTTGAAAAATGATTCTTTAATGTGCGATATAATGATTTTTCTCCTTTTGGGGGTCGTTTTTAAGAAAATGCTTTTGTGATGTAATCCATGTAATGGTAATCCATGTAAACATGTCCCCTGAGTTGCAGGATATTTTATAAATTCAGAAAAGTTTGCCTTTTACCTGTCTTCTCACAAGGACATTAAAGTCTGTCTTTGAGATTCTTTATACGCATTTTGATAATGGAAAGTCTTGATTATTATCCCCCTTTCCTTATCTCTGAACCCACAGTTGGAGTAATGAGAATCAGGATACTAGTACTGCAAAGACTTTATGGAAACTAGTGAGCAAATCTGGCTTTTTCAAACGACGCCTGTGTTCTAGGTTTTATTTTACTTTTTTTTTGGCGGGGGGGGGGCGTCATTGGCACACAACATGATATTAGTTCCAGGTATGCGACATACTGTTTGGACATTTACGATGCCTGCATTATAGATTTGAAGCGCCTTTACGTATTGCCGAGGCAACATTTACCTATATTGAATTGTATATATGAAAACCAAATAATTGTCGGCATGAAATTTCAACGAATATCTATGTTCTACACAGGTGGCATTAAACAGGCTCTTCTTGCAAAAAGAATAATGTTTGAAGCAAATGCGAAAGCTTCTCTGAAAAGCACTAACGAGAAAATCGAGCAAGGTTGGAAAATACAAAAACAAAGGTGAGGTTGTTATTTTTAAACCACAAGGACCCTTGTATCATATCTTAGTATTCCTTGGTGCAAATCACGGAAGGCGAATGCTATTATATTGAATTTTCCATTAAAAAAGAGATTTTGCTTGATTCTTTTCTACGTGAATAAATTCTCTTAACCTCACTCCTTATCAGCATTGAGGTGTAATTCCAGAAGCCAGTAAAGGTGACCTTTCCCCTCCCTTTCAAAGAACAATTGGGTTCTCTTCCTGTAGAGTTTTCTTCCTATATAGTTTTCATTTAATTCATAGTCATTCTAGACCTACATTAGCCGATCCTTGGGTAAATGTCTTACAGCGTTATCCTGGTGAAAGTTAACTGTGTTCCATCATGTAGAAAAGCTTAACTTTATATCATAAAGAATTTGCACATTGTAGCTAAGTTGCCTTCACTGTTCGTTCTTAAAAATCTTAAAAATCATTTCTTTTGCCTTCGTGGATGTATCTTGCAAGAAGTTACTGTGGCCAAGTTCAAAAAGGGCGTTGCCTGTGTTCTCCTCTAGGATTTTGATGGAATCTTGTTTCGTTCTTAAAAATCTTAAAAATCATTTCTTTTGCCTTCGTGGATGTATCTTGCAAGAAGTTACTGTGGCCAAGTTCAAAAAGGGCGTTGCCTGTGTTCTCCTCTAGGATTTTGATGGAATCTTGTCTCACATTTAGATCTTTCATCCATTTTGAGTTTATCTTTGTGGATGGTGCAAGAGAGTGGTCCAGTTTCATTCTTCTGCATGTGGATGTCCAATTTTCCCAGCCCCATTTATGGAAGAGACTGTCTTTTTTCCAGGAGATAGTCTTTCCTCCTTTGTCGAATATTAGTTGACCATAAAGTTGAGGGTCCACTTCTGGATTCTCTATTGTGTTCCATTGATCTCTGTGTCTGTTTTTGGGCCAGTACCCTACTGTCTTGATGACCACAGCTTTGTAGTACAACCGGAATTCTGGCATTGCGATGGCCCCAGCTATGGTTCTCTTTTTTAAAATTCCCCTGGCTATTCGGGGTCTTTTCTGATTCCACACAAATCTTAAAATAATTTGTTCCGACTCTCTGAAGAAAGTCCATGGTATTTTGATAAGGATTGCATTAAACATGTAAATTGCCCTGGGTAACATTGACATTTTCACAATATTCATTCTGCCAATCCATGAGCATGGAATATTTTTCCATCTCTTTGTGTCTTCCTCAATTTCTTTCAGAAGTGTTCTGTAGTTTTTAGGGTATAGATCCTTTACCTCTTTGGTTAGGTTTATTCCTAGGTATCTTATGCTTTTGGGTGCAATTGTAAATGGGATTGACTCCTTAATTTCTCTTTCTTCAGTCTGACTGTTAGTGTATAGAAATGCCACTGACTTCTGGGCATTGATTTTGCACTTCTTGGGATTTACCCCAAAGATACAGATGCATATAACACCGGGACACCTGCACCCCGATGTTCACAGCAGCAATATCCGCTATAGTCAAACTGTGGAAGGAACCTCGGTTTCCATCGAAAGATGAATGGATAAAGAAGTTGTGGTTTATGTATACAATGGAATATTACTCAGGCATAAGAAACGACAAATATCCACCATTTGCTTCAACATGGATGGAACTGGAGGGTATTATGCTGAGTGAAATAAGTCAATCGGAGAAGGACAAACATATGGTCTCATTCATTTGGGGAATATAAAAAGTAGTGAAAGGGAATAAAGGGGAAAGGAGAAAAAAATGAGTGGGAAATATCAGAAAGGGAGACAGAACATGAGAAACTCCTAACTCTGGGAAACGAACTAGGGGTGGTGGAAGGGGAGGTGGGCCGGTGTGGGGGTGACTGGGTGACGGGCACTGAGGGGGAAACTTGATGGGATGAGTACTGGGTGTTATTCTATATTGGCCAATTGGACACCAATAAAAAATAAATTTTAAAAAATCACTGTTGTGCCAAAGAGGGGAACTGTTTAAGTGAAATATTCCTGTTTGGCAATCTTCGATATAACATCCTCATTGAATCTACTCACCGCATCCGAATGTAGAGTTTCTTCAGGAAGAAGAAATGAAAAGTAAGCTGCTTTTAGATAAAATGAGTCTTTCTGGAATATTTATTTTATGGTAAATCCTCTGTAGTGTTTAAGAGGCAAGGCATGTGAGAAGGCTTCTATATTGGTCACTTAGGAACAATACTGTTGGTAATAAGAGTCAATTGTTCGTGTGCCCTTTCTGTTTCCCCTGAGACTATTTCAGCTGCTGTTACAGTATTCCTCCAAAATATGGTTAATTTTGTCATCTCTTTGTGGAGTGTGATGGTGCTTGTTATCATGTTTTACAGGCAGAATCTTCATTTCAAATACTCTCAGCAGTTTCTGACTCTCTTTCAGAAGTGGGATACCGACATGAGGAAATCCCAGGAACAGGAAGCAAAACTAGCTGTTGGTATCAGCCTTCGCTTTAAAATTTATCTATTCTATTGATTTCTTTACTGTATCAAAGTCTCAAGTAGCAAGAGGTCATGCAAAAACACAGGAGAGAATGTAGAGTCCGTGAGCCCAGATGGGTAAGGGTGGGTAGAAGATAGCCCAGATGAGTAGTGGTGGGAGGCCGAACGTTCTATTTGGATGGTTTCTATTTAGTGATACAGGAAGGACACCAGTTAAGAGTTAGAATGGTGGAGGAGGCGCTGCCTTTGGGGGGCAGAGAGGAAGTCCCGGAATTGTTTCCTGAGAGCGGGCCAGTGAATGCACTAGGGGAATATCATTGCCAAGCAGCATTATGGGTCTGGATTTGCTTACTGTCATAGTGATCATGAATTTAAAGTGAGACCACGCTGCACAGTTGTGGCTGAGCGGCCAGAGAGCTGGATCTTCCAGGGTTGGGGTTCGGCCACACAGATTGACAGAGTGGAAAGGGGGCAAGGTACACGTGCAAGTGCAGAGGTACGACGATTGACCATGGAATTTAAGCCAAGAAGGAGGAAAAGGGAGACTAAGAGAATGGGGACTGGGGACAAGGAAGACTCCTTGGATCATTGAGATATCAATTCTGAAAGAGTACTGAACCGTAGTAAGAAGGGGAGAGAACAATAAACAGGGAGGTAAAGATGGAATGTTGTGCGGGGCCGAGTGGGGTGGAGAAACAGCATAGCACAGTGGTCAGGAGCCTGAGCCCCAGAAACTTTTCTTGTTTTTTGTTTTTTTAACTCTATCCTGGTTGACCAGTACTAGCTGTGACTTCAGGGACAAATTGTATCTCACTCAGGTTCCTCACCTATGAAAGGAGACATGGTAAGAGCATCTGCCTCGTAGAGTTGTTTTGAGGGCTGAATGAGATCGTATGTAATAAGTCTATTTGAAATGGTTCCAAACAGTACCTGACATTGAGCTGATATGCAAGTCCTTGCTCTAATTAATCTTATGTAGACGTTGCAGTTATTAGGAATCCCGGGTCTGACTACATAAGTGACTAAAGTAGGGAAGAGGACAGAATTATTGTTGGAGAGCAGCTCAAGTAACAGAGAGGCTTCGATCGTCTGTACGTGTCCTGAAATGACTAAGAATTACCACATGTTTTGAACGTGGTTAAGAAAGAATTGCTCCTCTGTGACTACTGTTAGGAAGGATTATTGTATAGAGTCTTTGCCTACTTGTGGTAAACAGATTATTGAAAGGGCCATTTGTGGACTTTGAAGTCCAGAATTAATACATGTCTTCAATATCGGTGAGGAAGACAATTTCCCACTTAATGGCTACTGGGTAGGGTCATCGTGTATTGTTTCTGTATATGGGTGGTGAACACAAGGATCTAAACTTGGTCGCAAAAGTTGTTAAAACAGGAAATGCTGACAGGTATTGATTTAAGGAATCTTCCTTTTTAACCTGATGGGTAATTATGTTCTCTGAATAATAAACGTGACCCACATTTTGTCACCTTTTTCTTTTATGTTCCCAGGGTATGTTTCAAGAGCAACAAAAGATTCTGCAACAAGCTAGAATTGTTCAGAACCAGAGGCTGGAAAAATTAAGAAACGTATACAAAGAATTCTTAAAGGTCTGTTGTATTTGGCAACACAATACGCTCTTAGAAAACACAAGACGTAGGGGTGCCTGGGTGGCTCAGTCGCTTCAAACGACCAACTCCTGGTTTTGGATCAGGTCATGGGTCCTGATCCCATGGGTTGTGGGATGGAGCCACGCTGGGCCTCCCTTCTCAGCAGGGAGTCTGCTTGAAGATTCTCTCCCTCTGGTCCCCTGCCCCCTTGCACGTGCGCTGTGTGTGTCTCAAATAAATGAGCAAATCTTGAAAAAATGCATAATATGTATATAAAAGTAGAAGATAGTTTCTTTCTGAATCTGTGGGTGGAAAACCATTTAGGTTGTACATCAAAATTGTCAAGTAAGACCTCACTGTTTTGGATTCAGCCTAATTGGGAAATGCATTTTTTTTATTTTTAGCATTAATTAATACTTTTATGGGAGTCGTTTATTTTTTTACTTTCATTTCACACTATTGCCACACACATTTAGCTCTTATTTTTGTAAATTTGATTATGTGTGAAATTGAGATCTTCAACTTTATTTCCCCAATGTTGAAGATTTAAAGATCCTGATTATAAAAAGGAAAAAAAATACAGAAATACTATAAAAAAGTGTCCTAAGTGTACTAGATGGGAGTCGTTTAAAACAGGGAATGGCAACGTGGGAATTTTACCTAGAAATACACATATCATGAAGAATACTGGTACTTTATTAACACTTCGAGCAAGATTTTTTGGTTCGACCATCAGTTTTGAGGAGATCAGCAATAAACATATAGTGGAAACTAGGAATTCTATGAGTCACTTCTATGTGTCTTTTCCTTGTATTAGTGGTTTCTGTTAAATATGAGTAGGCAGTTGTAATTGATGGATCCTGATTTTATATTCAAATATGTTACATGAGTATTTTGTGGCACATTTGCTTTTGGAATACTAGAGGAATAGTGACTTTATACACAGACTTAAGGGATCCCTGGGTGGCTCAGTGGTTTAGAGCCTGCCTTCAGCCCGGGGCGTGATCTTGAGTCCCAGAATCAAGTCCCGTGTTGGGCTCCCTGCATGGAGCCTGCTTCTCCCTTTGCCTGTGTCTCTGCCTCTCTCTCTCTCTCTCTCTCTCTCTCTCTCTCTCTCTCTCCGTGTCTGTCTCTCATGAATAAATAAAATTTTAAAAAAGTTTTTAAAAAATCATAAGGAAAGGTCTAAGGGAATGTATATCAGAATGAAAAGGCCAGAGGAAGACTAACCGTTTGTGAATTGAGAATGATCTGGTGTGATATTTGCACATCAGCAAATTGTCCTCAGTGACACATAGCTCTTCTTCAGGCAGAGATATACTTCTTTAGGAAGTGATGGAATCCTGCACATTCCCCTTCTTTTTTTCTTGTTGTGTCTATGGGCACTGTGTGTGTGTGTGTGCATGCGTGCGCGCAAGTGTGTGTGTGTGTGTGTGTGTGTGTGTGTGTGTGTGTGTGTGTGTTTGTGCCCGCGTCGGCCCTTTACCTCTGCATTGGTGCCTTTCTTTGCAACCTTTCTGCAACTGCATCTTTCTTTGAATTCCTACTGCTACTGCCCTAGTTCGGGATCTCACCATTCCTTGCTCCTCCGATTAAACGCTTACCTGAGTGCTCTCTTCTCCAGTCCATTCTTGAGGTTCTGCAATATGATCTTCCCTCCTGAAAACCTGTCATTAGCTTCCCATGTTAAACCCTCAGGTATTCAGCATCTGCCCCTGCCCAGTAACAGAACTCCCTTTTTTTAAAAAAAAATATTTTATTTATTTATTCATAGGGACACAGAGAGAGAGAGAGGCAGAGACGCAGGCAGAGGAGAAGCAGGCTCCACTTAGAGAGCCTGATGCGGGACTTGATCCAGGGTCTCCAGGATCACGCCCTGGGCTGAGGTTTCGCTGCGCCACCGTGGCTGCCCCCCTTTGTGGTTTTATGTGGACATTCCTCCTTTCCTCCCACCCCTCCAGATTGGTTGCTCTCTCTGAACTAACTCACCTTTACTTCCTTGTTTCTGGAATACTTTCAATTCCTTCTTCCCTTTACCTACTGAAGTCCTATTCTTTCGCCAACTAACGCAGAGTCAATCTTACCTTCCAGCACAGTCATGGCAAGTGGTGTTTCCTTAATCATTACAAAGGATTTGTGTGGCTTTTAATTTACCTGTTTTTATCTCCCTGGAATAAGGGAGGAAGAGATCATGCATTCCTTTTCAAATTCACAGCACCTAACAGTACCTTTTACGTAGGATGCACTAGATCGCGACTCGTTAAGTGAACAGTAAAGATTAGACCATGTTTGTTTTTCATGACTTAAGAGGCCGTGTTACAGATCATTTCATTCCCTCCAATGGAATATGTTACACTGGTTATCAGTCATTATAATTGCAGGGTTCCGTGGTGTTTATAGAGTGTTTTAAAATTATGGATTTTCATTCTGTGGGACGGTCAGTCTTTATCTGTTTTTCCTCCACCTTGACCTTAACTGTCTATTAATGCATTGTTTGGAGCCAAGTGTACTACTGTCGCGCCTCTATAATATTTGACTCAAACACAACATTTAAAAATTTTTTTAAGTGGGTATTCCGATCTCCATGTATCAGGTACAGTGTTTTGTTTGGAAAAATTAATGAGCATCCCTTGAATATTAAGGGCTGTTACCTTTGAAATCTAACTTAATTTTTTAAAAATATCTTATGTATTTTGAGAGACGGCACACGCAGGGGGAGAAGGAGACTCCCAGCTGAGCAGAGAGCTTGACACAGGGCTCGATCCCAGGACCCTGAAATCATGACCTGAGTTGAAGGCAGACTCTTAACCCGCTAAGCCACCCAGGCGCCCCCTGAAATTTGACTGTACATGTTTGCAGCATGAGATGAAAAGTGGTGCTTCATACCTGAACTAGGCTTCTTGTTTTAGAGTTCGCAGGCCTTGGACAAGGACCATGAACATCTTCTTACTGATGAACAAAGTGAAGTCAGAGAAGAAATCGCCAAGATGCAAAACAAAATTATGAGGGAAGCTGTAAGTAGTATACATTTAATATTAAGACCCAAGGAGAGATGTGAGCATTGGGGTATTTGTTTTGCCAAAATGTATGACAGTTACCCGAATAACGGGCAAATGTCCCATATTTCCTTCCTTGAAACAGCAGCAGTAAGAGCTGGCAATGGTTCAGAAGTCTCTTCATTCCCTGTTGTTCTGACGACTTTGAAGAACGAAAGAACGGGAAGCTACGTTTTATTAAGTATGACATTAGCTGCACTGAACCACACTGTAGTAGTTTAAAGATTGTAGTTGAAATTGGTACGTCTTGTTTATCGTAGCTTGCTTGCTAAGTGCAAGAATCTTTTCCTGTTAAAACCCCGACCCTAAAAAGCTGTGTGAGGAGCGGCAGTTCCACAATTATATACGTATTAAGCTTTCAACCCTTTGTTAGTAATGAAGACTTTTTGTACTTAACACTGTCAATTAGCTGTTAGCAGAAGGATGATTTAATTTTAGGCTTGCCCTCAGTGGATCTGTATTAGCCCCAAAAGGCTCAAACCACAAGTACAGAAAGAAGGCTCCATTGCTTTGCCTAAAGGGAAAAAAATTAAAGAATATAAAATCTGTGTTATTCGTGCACCCGCCTGTATTTACTCATTAGTTTACTGAGCCAATTCCAATAACGATCTGGTTTCAGAAGAAAACGTACTCTACTGCCTTATAAAAATGATTGCAAGCAAATATAAGATTGTGTTTTTGAATCCATTAAACTGCCTACAATCGCTGGGAGAAAAGAACTACGTATATAAATATCAGTGCTGAGACATGGGTTTGTGAATGTGCCATTTCCACAAGCACACCAAAATGTCATTTAATTGGTGTTGGTTCACTATTAAATGACACCTGCCCTTAGCATTTATTGAACATATTTCACTAATATGCGCATGTACTTACTCAGGGCTTAAGCATTTCACATCTGTCTTTTTTCAAAAAACATTTTGTTTGTTTGTTTAATTATTTATGAGGCACACAGAGACAGAGAGAGAGAGAGAGAGAGATGCAGAGACACAGGCAGAGGGAGAAGCTGGCTCCATGCACAGAGCCCAACGTGGTACTCGATCCCGGATGCCCAGGACCATGTCCTGAGCGGAAGGCAGGCGCTAATCCGCTGAGCCACCCACGGATCCCCTCACATCTGTCTTTAAAGATGAATCACCTACAGTGCTTTGTTTTCAAGTTTAATATTCATTGAGTATATGGAACACTGATTTTATACTTGAGAGCTAGGAACTTGAATAATTCATTCTTATACCTCTCCTTTTGTAGTGGGCATTTGTTTTAACATTTGATAACATAATACTGTCTTCATCTAGGCATGTAATTTAATAAACATGGCATTGTTTCAGAATATATTTGGAATAAGCCCTTTAAATATATTTTCTGAGATACTGAAAATCCTCCCATGAATCATTCAAAACAAAACAATCCCATTAGGAGTAGAGGAAAGATTTTCTCCCGTTTTTCTGTATGGTGTCGTGGGTTGTTTTTGTTTTGTCTTGTTTTGTTTTTAATATCAATTCTTACCCCTGTATACCAACCTTCTGTTTGTTTTCAGGTTTTTGTTTGCAAGTTTTCAAACATAAGCCCATACAGAATCTCTTTTTCTAACTGCAGTAATGTATACAGGAACAAATGAGTCCTCCACCACTATCCAATCTTTGACATTACAGGGAGAAATTAATTGCCCAACTTCACATGTTCTTAAAGAAGTTTCCTTTTAAGCCAAAGCATGTGTTGGTATATGCGTCTGAAGTTCTGTTCCAAACATCTAAGAAGGTCCTCATTTGGGAAGTTTTCCAGTAGCTATAGAGGCAAAAATAAAGTACTCCAAAGGTCCCCATGAAAGTTCTCGTATTCATAGTAAGACATCTGGTTTTATGTGAGCGGGCAGAGGCAATACTCAGTACATAGTGTACTTAGTGATCAGCAGCCCGCGGGATGACAAAGGGAATGGACATAAGTGGTATAGAATAAATTGGGCAGCCCCAGTGGCGCAGCGGTTTAGCGCCGCCTGCAGCCTGGGGTGTGATCCTGGAGACCCAGGATCGACTCCCGCATCGGGCTTCCTGCCTGGGGCCTGCTTCTCCCTCTGCCTGTGTCTCTGCCTCTCTCTCACTCTCTCTGAATGAATGAATAAATCTTTAAAAAATTTTTTTAAAAGAATAAATTGGTATGCATGTATTGCTTAGGTAAGTAGTAGTTGACTGTGTGATAAAATAATGTGATAAGAGGTCCATGGGTGTTTTCCTGGGAAAATCTTCCTGTGTCTCAGAAGGGATGCTGCCCACCCACAGCAATTACCAACAAGAGGCAATCAGTAGACTCTCCACTGGGACAATTGGTCCTACAAGGTGGAAACACCTTGTAAATGCCAATCCGTAAACATTAGAGGGTACATATACACCTCTTTCTTAGGAGAGACACCAGGAAATACTGCACTAAAGTAGAAAGCTAGTCTCTATCTTCTTGCCTATGTAGCTCCCACTCTGCCGGAATCTTTTTCCTTTTTAAGATTGATTGATTGATTGAGAGATTTATTTATTTATTTATTTATTTATTTATTTATTTATTTGAGTGAGAGAACAAGTGAACGAATTGGAGGGACAGAGGGAAATGGAAAGAGAATCTCAAGCAGACTCCGTACTGAGTGCAGTGCCCGATGCAGGGTTCCACCTCACCATCCTGTGATCACAACCTGAGCCACAACCCAGAATCAGTCGCTTGATTGACTGCGCCACCCAGGGACACCAAAGATTCATTTATTTATCAGAGAGAGGGAGAGAGAGAGCACACAAGCAGGGGTGGGGCAGATGGAGAGGGAGAGAACCTCAGGCAGACTCCTCGCTGATTGCAGAGCCCCATGCGGGGCTTGAGCTCACTACCAGAGCCAAAGTAAGGAGTCAGTCACTTGACTGACTGAGCCACCCAGGTGGCCCTCCTCCCTGCTTGGATCTTTAGGGACTTTCTGCCATTGGGTCGTTTCCAGCTTTACCTTCACATGTCTACTGATGGTTTTTAGCCCCACATCGTTGCTGCATAGAAGAAATTATGGCACCCCCCCTAAATGTCTGGAAATGGTACATGACAGGAGAATCTCAGAACTATGCATGGTTATCTGAGGAAGGCCTTAGCCCAAGATTGGCAGTGATGTAAATTCTACAAAATTGCAGCTGCTGCCTACTGAACACCGTCCAGTCTCAGGCATTGTGCTAAGGGCTTCACATGCATAATCTCCACATCCCATCAGGTGATCCTTTATATGTGGGGGTCTTTAAAATAACATATATTGTAAAGACAGAGCCATGGGATGAGGTGTTATTAGTCTTACTCATTCCTTACAAAGTATATAATTCAGTTAGGGATAGATCGGGCTAGGCATGGAAAGGTCCCAGAACCAGGCTCCCATAACTCCCAAGGACACCGAGATGGAAAAAAAAAAACAGGTAAGGAAGTGGATCTGGCCCCGAGCTCTGAAAGGTAGGGAGTATCATCCTTTGACCGCTACATAGTAAGCACAGAGACTCACCAGGCCCCAAAATAGCCATATATCATCCACTCGTGACGACACAAGAAATCTCAAGGCCAGAAACTCCCTAGTCAGGTTCTCTATGAAAGGCCAGCCAAAATCACCTTCAGTGGCAACCCTGGCGGGGCCCCTTTCACTGCCGAGAGCCTTCTACGTGTCCTCTCCTCATAAGCTTCTATGCCTTTAGTCACTCTCCTTTGTCCACAAGATTCATTCTTGGATTCCGTGAGACTAGAGCCAAGTTCTCCTGAGCATTTTGGTGCTGAAACCCAGGATCGTGCTCACCAAAGGGTGAGTAAATGCGGACTCTTTCCTTTCTTTCCTGGGAGACATCTCTCCCTTGGATAACCTCTTCTTGTAACAAACAGCAAACCGGGGCACCTGTCAGCCAGCTACAGGTGAATAGCGTGGCTCCTGGTCTCAAGACCCAGGTGACAAGCTTCTGGAGAAAGGTTTGGTCAATCCCGCTTCCTCAAAAGAAGGGAATGGTGGCCTGGTCCTAACGAGTTCCACTGTCGGTCCTCCTTCTCTGGCTTTCTTAATTGGCTTTTCCCCTGCCTCAGTGACTTTGCCTATAGTGGGGCCATGCTCACATACGACACTCAGGTGTGTGAACAGGAGAAGTAGCAGGGGTAAGGCGAGGAAACATAATTGAAATTGGTTTGTAATGGGCCTGACACATCAGGCACCGTGGGGCTAAGAATGCAAGCAAACTCACGTGACCAAACAATGAAGGCTCCAGCAAGAGAGCTCCGAAGAATAAGGTCATTTATAGGTTTCCCTGCTAGTTTAAGGTGCATCCGGAGAGTGGACATAAGGACTAGCAATCCAGCGCTCTGAACCTGCCCTTTGGTCACCATTGATGGCCTTGGGGTCTCCAAGACAAGTAAAAGGATTGAGACTGGCCCTGGGGCTCACGCCCTGGGGAAGCCTCATCCGTAAGCAGCACATGCCTCCCCCACTGAGAGACCGTACTTGTTTTGCTTGTCCTTATCCTTCTCAAAAGAATATCACAGTTTAAACCATTAGCCTTGCTAATCTGTATGATTAGGACACTTTTGTTTTTGTTTTCTATCCGGGTGGCGGGGTGGGGGAGGGAGGAATCCAGAGGAGCCAAGGAGGATTAGGTGACGGACAGGTAAGAGTGGCTGCTCCTACCAGCCTGATCCCTCCTCAACCCAAGTTGTTGGGCACTCTGTCACCATGGGTAGGCACACAGGGGACGCCTTGGTTGACAGGAGAGAGCTGATATGTAGGGATGCCTGCATAGTCAACCTCTCTGTAAAAGGTACAGGGTAATTGATTCCTGCGTGGATCATGAGATGGGAAACTAACCATCCTCCACAAAAATTAGTCTGGATTGGGTACTGCAAAATTGGGCATTTTTCTCTGGAAACTTGTCTAGTGTTTTCCACTGGTGAAAAACTGTGGGTTCTTCAAAGCAAGGTGA